AGCCAGTCCGTCACAAAGGACAATGGTTTATTATTTAGGGTGTGCAATGCCCGATACCCGCGCAGGTGTGCGCTGAGCTAACGTTATAATTCCCTTTTATCGCAAAGATGATGTTATTTAAGAGACAGGGATTTCCTCTTAAGTTTGTGAACGCAAAGGATTTTAACGCAAAGAAAAGGGCAGAGATGGGCATCGTTATAAAGAGATTGCTGAGCTGCAGAGCTGAGGAGATGGAGCTTGGCAGAGTGGGTTTGTTTCAGCTCTTGGGGTCTGGAACCTGTAGACTGAAGGTTGCAGTTGCAACATCATCATCATCATCATCATCATCATCACCACCATAATTTAATATATTAATATAGAATATTATGTAAATGTTATATTAATATAGTAAATAATTTATATTATCTATTACTTGACATATCATATATATCATATGTATCATATGTATCATATCAATATATGAAGAAACAAGGCTTGAAGGTTAGGGTAGGAGTGGGGAACGTGTTGTCCTGCTCATCTGCCGGTCCCAAATGTCTATATGCTCCGTAAGCTGCAGCTGATTTTGCTGGACCCTGGTTCACTTCAGGTCTGTCTCTGAGGCATTTTCTACACCTCCACACTCGGGTGAGATTTCTCGGGGATCTTGTTAAATAGACGCGTTTTTAGCGTTCCAAGGACACGTGCGCACAAGGGAGAGCCGTCACGCAGCCCGTAAATACCGAGCGGAGGGTAAATCTGTCGTGCAGATACCAAGGTTATGCATTTAAACGGTCTCCCCGGGGTATTTTATGACAATTTTAACAGCAGGCAGGGTTACTGCAAAGCAGATCATAAATAAGTGTTCTGCAATAATGCTGTTTTTTCTCCTCAAGATTGGTATTTGTTTTTCCCGAGCAGCCTCTTCAGAGGAGTCACAGAGTTAGAGAGAGCCAGGATCTGCTTTTTCTGCTGGGGGGGTTAACTTTTAGCTTTAGATCAGAAGGGCTGGGGTAGCCCCTACCTCTTCTGCAGAGATCCTTGGGAAAGGCTCCAGATGGGAGAGCGAAGGGGATGGGACACCAGAAAAGCACGGGTCTGGGGGCAGCGGTGCTGGGTTCAAGTGCGAGGGGCAGGAGAGGAAGACCAGGAAGTGTCTGGGTCAGGATGGGGGGGTCCAGGTGTCCCAGGAGGATGGGGATGGCGATGGGGATGGGAATGGGGATATGGACGGGGATGGGGATATAGACGGAGATGGGGATTTGAATGGAGATATGGACAGGGATGGGGATATGGATGGAGATATGGATGGGGATGGGGATATGGACAGGGATGGGGATATGGACGGGGATGGGGATGGAGATGGGGATGGGGATGGAGATGGGGATGGGGATGGAGATGGGGATAGGGATGGAGATGGGGATGGGGATGCTGCTGCCTTTCAGATCCCCATGCAGGACATGAATCTCTGAGGTTCTGCCGTCATCCCACAGCATTTCACACCTCTGGGCTCTGTCATTGCAGCCATCAATGACTCCCCAGGGGCTTTGTTAATTTTCCTGCTGCTTTCCTTGGCTTTGCTTTTGCGGACAAGCCCTTGGCCATCATTTCTAGCCAGGGTGATGAGTGAGTGATGGTACTTTACAAGCGGCTTGTCCTCCCCATTGAGGAGATATCCTTGCAGAAATACTTAGTACAGGCATAGCACTGGGGGTTAAACTGTTTTATCACTGCCATCCCTCTGAGAAACACCCTGGTACGAGGAGAAATGGCACAGGTCTCAGATGGGCTTTAATTCCCAGCTGATAAAATGGAAAGACAGTGGAGGGGGAGTCCCAGCTCCCGTTGCCTGCTCCTGCAGGTCCGTGCTGGGCCATGGACGCGTCTCTTGGTGCTGTGGATGCCACCAGAGGTTTTGGCGCGCTCCCCCGTGTCCCTGCGGGTGCTGGCGTGTCACTGGTACATCCCTCCTCTCATTCACAGCGTGTCTGCAGCACCAGAGCTGCGAAACCTGCGTGGGCTCGGAGCTGACCTTCAACTGCAGCTGGTGCCACGTCCTGCAGAGGTAACCGAGACGGGTCCGCAACCGCCCAGTTCCCTTCCTAATGTTGCTATAGCTGGGAGAGCGCGGGCAGCGCCAGGTCTGACGCCTGCAGCAGTTTTACTGCTTTTTAATGTATTTTTATTTTATTTTTTATTATTATTTTCCTTATTCTGGTTGGGTTTTTGTTGTTTTTTTGGTTTAGTTTGGGTGCCGCTCTTCTACTCTCCCAGCCATGGTTAAGAGGTGACTGATCTCTGGTTCAAAACCATGGGAAGGAGATGTTTCCCAAAATCGGGCTTCTCGGTCCAGATGTTTTGCTGCAGCTGGAACAAGTTGAGACCAGAAGCAAGACTCACATTTTTGTCACTGAGCTTAAACTTAAAACGGGGGACATTTAAACTTAAGCCATGATTTCAGACAGAAGTGTGGGGCAGGGAGGCTGAGACACACTCAAGGCTGGGGTTCTCATCGGGAACAGCCCCTCTTTGTCAGAATGATGGTGGGGGGCACTTGCTGCTTTTTTGGGGGGTACATGGAGGATCTGGGGGGGACGGTGCAGCCCCAGCCATGGAGCAGCCCTGCTCCGTGCTCCCCTTCAGCTCCAGCAGCGCCGTACAGGCTTTAATGAGGTTTTACTGCAGTATTTATTTGGAGCTAGCGGCAGGGGAGGGGACCCAATAACACAGATCCGTCCTCATGCATGGCACGGGGATGGGTTGGGAAGTGCCCAGCTCTGCCTTGCTCGCAGGGCACCGTCACTGCTTAGGACTTGCACCCTTTGCAACTTTGGGGAAAGATCCCAAGCCTCAGCAAAGTCCGCATGGATTCACTGCCTGGGATGCAGTCTCTTACTCTGGGTCTCGTTTGGGCTGAAACCCCAGGGTTTGAGGACTTCGTCATCCTGCTTGCTCCAGATTCGTGGGGCTTGTGAGCCTCATCTCCCAAAAATCCACCACTGTCCCACTGGCTCCCCACCAGGCTGGGTCTGCAGAGCCAACGTGACCTGTCCCAAGGGAATGGCTCCCAGGGTTTGAATTTATACCCCGAGTCAGTGATTTATACCCAACTCAGGGATTTAACCCCTCTCAGCTCTCTTCTGGACAGCAGAATTGGTATTTTTTTGCTTTTTCTAAGCCCATAATCATTACAGGAACAGTGCTTTGAGCAAAGATCCCAGTGACTCAGCAGGACGTGAAGTTTTCTGTGGTTTTCTCCTCTTTTACTGGTCGGTCATTGGGTAAATCAGTGCTTGCATGGGCTGAACACCTGATTCACATTTTGGCAGCCCCCAGAGGCCTCCCAAAGGTCAGCGCGTGCTGCTTCATCCCTCTGTTTCTGCAGAGATTTAGCCGGTGTTTTCCTGATGCTGTTTATAATTTGTTTAATGTGTTTTTCCTGTGCAGATGTTGCTGGAAAAAAAACAAACAAAACCAAACCCTTCACGGAGATCACGGCCTTGTCCTGGCGCAGAGTCCAGGCAGTGGAAATTCCAACTCAGGCCATATATTTTTCCCATTTCTCTGCCTCTCCGTTTCCTTGGAGAAGCGGTGCTGACCCTTTTCCTGCTCTGTGAAGAGGAACATTTGGGTCCTTCCAGCACAGCTGTACTGGAAACCCCACATCTTTGGAGACCGCTTGGATATGACCTTACCAGCCCTTGGATATTTGTTGGTCCGGGTATCGGGGCAGCATTTTGGGCAGCTTCGAGGCCGTTGTCAACGCTGCCCATGCGGAGGGGGCAGACAGGGGTTATTTTCGCTGTATCCAGGGTTGATCTCGCTTTTCTCCGCAGATGCTCCAGCGGCTTTGACCGCTACCGCGAGGAGTGGCTGTCCTACGGCTGCGGGCAGGTGAGACAGAGCCACCGCTTCCCTTCCTCTGCTGGGGCCGATGCTGAACAAAACAACGGCCACATCCCAGCCCAGAAAATTCACTCTTTCTGGCCCAGACTGAATGATCCCTTTAGATACCCCTTCCCTTTGCAGGGGGACCACCAATCCAGCCGACAGGGGATGACTGTGTTGGGGTAGTTAAAACACGGCCCATCTGCCCCAGCTTTCCCTGCCTTTGCTGTGTTTCTGCGCTGGATGCTCAGAGACCTCCCTAAGTCACCAAACGGTGCAGTTTCCCTA